TGAGCGCTGTGAATTGTGTAAGACTGATGAATCACAGACCTGTACCCCCTGAAACAAAAAATACATTATATGTTAATAAAAATTTTTTTCAAAAAAAATTTAATGGATAAGTTTTATAGCAGATTAGCACAGCTGAGGAAAAAATTAATAAACCAGAAATATAACTGAAGAAATTATATAAAATTTAGTGCAAAGAGAGAACAAGATGGAAAAATATTAAAGACAAATTAAAAGACATGAAAGACAGAATGAGGTGTCCAGCACATATCTAATAGGCATTTTATAATATGGAAAAGAAAAGGAATAAATAAGAGGAATTTTCAAAAATAAGATGGATGAAAATTTTCCAGAATTAAAGATATGAGCCCTCAGATTAAAAAGAGAGAGAGAGAATGTGTCCTGTGCAGAGTTCAAAACAAAAATCCAACAACTAACTTTTTTTGTGGTGAGCTTTCAAAACATGAGAGAGAAGGAGAGTGGAGAGAGGGAAATACTAAAAAACAAAAAAAACAGGAAAGATAAGTTATCAACTAAGGTTCAACAGTTAGCCAAAGAATGTCATAAACAACTGAATAATTTTGTCAAAGGGCTGAGACAAAATAAACAGTAAACCTCAAATTCTATATCCAGTTAAATGTTCATGGAATAAAGATCTCCTCAGAAAGAATTCACCTCTTACACAACAAGGCTGAAAGAAAACTAAAAGTTGTACTTCAGTTAAGAATAATTTTTAGGGGTGCCTGGATGGCTCAGTCAGCTGGGTGTCTGACTTCAGCTCGGGTCATGATCCCTGAGTCCTGGGATCAAGTCCCACATTGGGCTCCCTGCTCGGCAGGGAGTCTGCTTCTCCCTCTCACTCTCCCTCTGTGCTCTCTTTCAAATGAATAAATAAAATCTTAAAAAAATAATTTTTAAAAAACAGCAAGAGTTGAGTCTCAGAAGTGTTTGATAAATAAATTGTCAGTACTAATTATTTATTGACAGTAAACAATATTTTGTGGGAGAGGAGGCATAACCTCCCACCAGCCTATACATTTCTTCAGTCTCTGTGAATGGAACCTTAGAGGTATCTATGATTTTTTTAAGATCTTGTTTATTTGAGAGAATATGTGCATGAGCCAGGGGAGGGACAGAAGGAGAGGAAGAGAATTCAAGCAGACTCTGCACTGAGCACAGAGCCCATCTCAGGGCTTGATCTCATGACCCTGAGATCATGACCTGAGCCACAACCAAGAGTCAGATGATTAACTGACTGAGCCACCCAGACACCTCGAGGTATCTATGATTTTGCAGAGTTTATTTTTTGTTTTGGGGGTTTTTTTCACTTCTTTATTTTTTATTATTTTTTAATTTTTTATTAACATATAATGTATTTTTTGTTTCAGGGGTACAAGTGTTGATTCATCAGTCTTACACAATTCACAGCACTCACCATAGCACATACCCTCCCCAATGTCCATCACCCAGCCACCCCATCCCACCCCCTCCACTCCAGCAACCCTCAGTTTGTTTCCTGAGATTAAGAGTCTCCTATGGTTTGTCTCCCTCTCTGGTTTCATCTTGTTTCATTTTTCCCTCCTTTCTCCTATGATCCTCTGTCTTGTTTCTCAAATTCCTCTTATCAGTGAGATCATATGATACTTGTGTCTTTTCTCTGATTGACTTATTTAGCTTAGCATAATACCCTCTAGTTCCATCCACATCATTGCAAATGGCAAGATTTCATTTTTTATGGCAGCATAATATTCCTGTGTGTGTCTGTGTGTGTGTGTATACACCATCTTTATCTTTTCATCTGTTATGATTTTGCAGTTTTAATTGTTAGTTAAGAACAAGGACAAAAAAAGAAAAGAAGAGAAAAAAGAAAAGAACAGAGACAGAGTGGGCATGGGAGCAGAGAATCCTAGGGATTTTCACATGGGTACTAAGCCATTGTTTTCCTTAGAGTTTGTTGTGGGGGTCCAAAGTTATCTGGATCACAGTCCTTCTCAACTCTCAGTCACTAGAAATCCTCCCATTTCACTTAAAAAGCTGTCCTTATGAGCTATAATTTTAAAGAAAATGCAGATGGGGGCAGGCATTTGACAGTGTATGTTCATGAACAGGAGAAGGGGGAGACAAGGTTCACATACACAGATGTGAATACTAGCTTTATATAGGAATGCTGTTCATTCATACTAATAGGAAGAAAGAGTATATGGGGGCACTGAAACCTGGTTGGTTGCTCAGGTTGTGAAAACACTCTTCTAATTGCTTCCATTTTCACAGTCAAGTGGGAACCAAGGTCTCCTGCTGAGAGTGAAAGAGGAGAGATGTTAGAGCCTGAGAAGCAGGAAGATGTGGCTAAGTAATTTAATCATCCAATCGGGTGAAAGAGTGAATAGATGAGGGGAATGCAGTGCAGTTGCCAGGCAGGATCAAGGCTTGAAGACAGGCAGTGGCATTCATTTAAAGTGAGACTAGTTATTTTGTTCATATGTATTTTTTACCAATGTTCATCTCTTAAAACAGGTTTAACCAAGATTGAGGTTTTGCCAGGAAATTATGATGAAGGGTGAGAGGGTCAGGCATTGATGGTGTATATATGGGAGTGGCTATTGGCAAAGGTAAGCTTTTCTCTTGAAAGGTTGTGGACTCCTAAGTGGAGATGGTAGATGCCTCTTCTTTCTTGCCAACTTTATTTTGTCCATTGGCTCCCAGATTATACTTTCAAGTACATGGTAGAGAGCTGACTCTCTGTGTCCAGAAAGTTTGTGGATATGGGAGGTTGGCTATCTAGGACTATATCAAAGCTTTATTGAGGCAAAACAAAGTATGTGTTCACAAGTCACTTTCTAGATAAAGAAAATTTTCAAGTAAACTGAAACTTAGGAATTTTGGCAGCATATTAGAACTACAAGTTTCCTGGAATTTTAGCTGCAGCAGTAAATCTAGCTTTCTATTTCTTCTCCTTTTGCATGTTTTCCTCTTATAAGCTTCTGTATGTTGCTTATCTGCTTGGTGAAGAACATGTACAAATGCCCATTTTGTGGTCAGAGTGACTAGGATCCACTCTTGGGATTAGACCAGCGTTACTCTAGAACAAAATCTCAGAGTTTGCGGACCTCTCTAATATAGAGGTATGCCAACTGTCAGCATTTCTGTTCTTGCTCAGACCTCTGGGATGGATCTCAAATGACCCCTGCCTGGATTTGGTACCGCTCTGGCTCATCTGTTGTAATCGCTAGTCTGGAGTCCAATGATGTAGGTGCAGCTGCTAGAGGCCCCACTCCGTGAACTGCCAAAAAGAGATAAAGCTGTCCTTAGAAAAGGAAAAAAATCATAAACTCAGCAAGCACTCCCAAATGTGACTAAAACAAAATTCTAAATAGTATTTTAAGGTCTTCCCTGTTTCTGAAATTAGTTGTGTTTCTTTCTTCAGAAAATTTTGCTGACTTTTCTACTAAGTAAGGTTCAGTCTTTCTGCAGTCCAATTCTCCTCATCTGGCCAATGATCTTTTTCATTCAGGACACATAATATAGGGATCTAGATTGTGAGCACAGCAGTTGGTTGTTGGACTCTCTTGGCACCTGATTAGGTCAATGTTACATTTTTTTTGCAGTGTCCCTAATGTACTGTATCATCATCACAGTGACAGTGTTAACCAGGCCACAGGGCCTGGTGAGACACTTTTTTTCTCTGTTATAGGGATGAAACTGCCAAATAGAGGGTGCAGACATAGACCAGTGTCCCCACGTGCAGAGGAGAAACATGGCTAAATTCTTATAATCCAAGCACCCATTTTCCATGCCCACTACCACTATCAACCTGCTCATACACATTATTTTTTCCATCTCAAGACACGTCTAGTACAATTTCATTATAGACGGATGTTTATAAACTGGTTTATACAGAACGCATTTCACATAAGTTCAACCCTAATGTCAGATGGGAAAGTAGAATAATCAGATGAGTAAACTGTCTCCAATTCCAACTTCTAGGAAGTTTGCCTGTAGACTTGAAATGCCATTGATGGAATTTAGACACTAATGACCTTTAATTCCAAAAGGCCTGAGTATCCTTGACCTTATTTTCTTGACCTTCTTCCATTACTACATCTGTAGCTACCGTATGGGGTCTGCAGCATTGTTTATTAAACACAAACACTAGACATGAACATTTTTTAGTTGCATTATGTACCTAGCACATAGTGTTATATGGTAGGTGGTTAAATATTTGCTGAAATAAAGTAAAATTTTAAGTACATAAATTTTATCACAAAATGTTCTATTTTTAGAAGAAACAAGAAAAAATTAAAAGCTAAGGGGATTATTTATGTAAAGAAATTACAGGAATAGCCTCTCAACCTAAACCCTACTGTTGGCCCATTCAAAAGCTCACAAGGGCCTTAGGTTATAACATAATGGGTAAAGCTTCCCCCTCAGATCTCTGATGGCCTCTGGCAATGTTGTAGAATATAGAACCTCGAGTCAACTTTCAAAGCTTTGGATTCCTTTATGTCAGCTTCCACTGTAAAATAATAACCTTTGGTATTTTTTTGTTTCTTCATCAATGAATCTGTGCTAGAATTCTGGCCACAGAACTCATAGATTTTTGATTGACATAGGATCTTATGTTTACTAATAATTGTCTTGTTGATGTCTTTCATAACATCATTGATTTAACAATAGGTTAAACGAGATTTCATACATGCAGGAGTACCACTGAACTCATGAGTTATAAATGGCATTTCTTTAATATTCCTTTTGATGAGGGAGTGGAAGGCTAGCTGAGGACAAAGTACAAGCTGACACCCTGCAACCTAACCACCCCCAACTCCTGGGTGGGATATGTGTGACGTTTCTCCAGGGAGCTCTCACTGTCTTAACCCCTTAATGTTAATACTTTGCTAGAGGTCAAATGGCAAGGCCTCCTGTATCCTGTGGGTATTCTTTAACATATGAAAATCCTTTTGAAAACTTAGCTGAGTATCTGGAGTTTTTCCTAGTATTTTTTTTTTTTTTTTCCAGTCCACAGGATCCTCAAGCTGGTTCTGCAGGGGGAGGGGGACAGGCTTTCCTTTAGCTTGATCATGCTTTCAGGACTTCCCCAGCTGAATATTTTGTTTGTTTTTTGAGAGAGAGAGAAAGAGACTGGCAGGGTGGGGATGGGGAGAGGGAGAGAGAGAATCTTAAGCAGACTCCCCACTGAGCGCAGAGCCCAACACAGAGCTCGATCTCACAACCCTGAGATCACACTCTGAACTAAAACCGAGAGTCAGATGCTCAACCGACTGAGCCACCCAGGCACCCCAGCCTCCAATGTTTTGCTTGTAAAATGTGCTCAGCATTCAGCTATATTGAAAATAATTTTTAAAAAAACTGGATTAATATTATGTGATTTTTGAATTAAGACTGAGCAAAAATAGGCCTTATTAGTGATTAGTATAATGTCTGATTATGTTAATGTTCACTACCTTTCCCTATCTTTGCCTCTCCCTTCCATTCTAAAACATAAAAAACCATTTAAATTCTTAATCATTATTGAATGTTAGAACTACTGAGTGTGTTTGTTACCTGTGGTAATTTGGAAGATTGTTCTAGAATTCTGGAAACTAATAATGTAGTAGGACCTAAAATCTCATGTTAGGAGATTCAGGGTTTTAAGCCTCTTCCTGTGGGAGGAGTTTCCATCTAACTGTTGTATCAACTTGATCATCAAAACTTCCCAGCTCCTGTTCTTTAGAGAGTTCTAAGAATACCTAAGTAGGGAGGAAATAAAAAAGGAAACAAAAATGTCAGGGTGTTTCTGAAAGACGATGTGCACAGAGATTCACACAAAGGCTCCCTGGATGGTGCTCACTGGTTTAAAGAAAACTCACCTGTTCCAAGGTAGCCTGAGAGAGGCTGTATTCTTCCATATCAAAGGTCTGTTTCACTGCATTGAAAGGGACTGACATTAAAGGCTTACATGTTTTTCACCAAAAGTGCTTAACGGCTGAGCCATCCAGGTGCCACATTCTTGCTCCTCACACCTCTGACTATGATAAATATGGAGAAGCAAGAAGCTCAACTCAGTATTCTTTGGGACAACATGTTGATAATTATTCTCCAATACCATGCAGTGGAACCAGGACAGAATATTCTAACTTACTTGCAGCTGAGTCTCCTTGTTAGCAGAGGAAAAATCAGGTGGAGTAAACCTGAGTGTAAAGCCACCACTACACTCCCTATAGAATATATAAGATGAATCCAGTGGAGATTTTCTAAGTTTTGACTGATTATATAATTTTTCTACTTGAACTCATATAGTACATATTCCATGTGAAAATATGCACAACAGATAAAGTCTAAGTATGTCTAAACTTACCTGCCTTTAATTTGAAAAAGGCCCAAGATAGAGGGTGAACGTCTTTTCCACAGGTAATTTAGACACTATCATGGAGGAATATCTGGGAGAAGGAAAAAGTCAGATTTATTGCAGTGTTACAATATTGGGGAGAAATTGATAGCTAAAAAAAATTTTTTTTTTAAGATTTTATTTATTTATTTATTTGAGAGAGAGAGAGAAAGAGAGAGAGAGAGAAGGAGCAGAGGGAGGGGCAGCGGGAGAGGGAGAAGCAGACTCCCTGCTGAGCAGGGAGCCCGATGCAGGACTTGATTCCAGGACTCCACGATCATGACCTGAGGGGAAGGCAGACACTTAACTGACTGAGCCACCCAGGCACCCTAAAAATTTCAGTTTTCTTTAAATAAAAAGGTAAATAGTTTAATTTGATAAAGCATGAATCTGAGCCAAATATCTTTAGTGATAAAAACCTGGTAACAGAGAGGGGAGCAAGATGGCGGAGGAGTAGGAGACCTGGATTTCGTTTCCTCTCAGGAATTCAGCTGGATAGGGATCAAACCATTCTGAACACCTACAAA